TTAGATTCAATTTTATTTGCTCTTAAAATATTATCATGCCATCCATATTCACCATAAGGAAATAGCAAAGGATATTGCAAAGAATCGTACGCACTATTTAATTCAGAGATATGTTTTAATTGTCTTTCTTTAGTTTGTATAATAATATCTCGATAATCTGGTTGAATATCATAGTCGCAAAGAAGAACTGCAACTTCTGATACTGTTGGTTTATTATACTGTCTCATATCCTTATTGTGTGTATTATGGATGACCATTCTCTACTGAGAATTATCAGATTCTATTTTTGCCTTTACTCCTGCAGTTACAAATTGATTAACAAATGGATTGATTATATTTAGTTCATCCTGTAATGCTTTGAGCATGTCGATATTCAAATATATAAACATTTCTTGTCTTCTTTGAAGTTGATTATCCATATTTGAATCAAAAAAATAAATCTGAGCAAATAAAAGTTTTTCATCATTATATCTTGGCATTAGACTGCCAATCTGATGATATAATGCTCCTTGAATCCTAAAAGTGTAAACTTCTTTTTTAGCATTTGCAAGCTCCTTGTCAAGGTTTACACCTAAAGATGTGAATGCAAGAACCTGATTGTATGCTCTAATATGAGTTACAAAAGGTTCATCTGAATCTGGATTATCTTGTGTAAGCAAGTTATACAAATTTTGTGGTGCTGGAGAAAGAGATGCCAAAACAACCTGTCCATTAAGACAACAAAATCCTTTAGTTTTATTTTTCCACTTTAAAGCATAACAGTATTCACATATTTGTTCCATTCTTTCAAATCTATGTTTACTGTTTTCTACTCTATCTTGAATATAATCATCTATATTGCAATGTCCTAATTTTAAGAATTGTTTTTTTATTTGTTCTTGTTTTGCAATATATTGATTTTTTTGATAATTTTATTTTGTTCTTTTATTTTATTTCGTTGTTCAATTGTTAAAGCTTTTAAGAATTTTTGTTTTCTTAATCTTGCACTCTCTGTTATTTTAGATCTTGTTTTAGCTGAAGGTGGAACATTATCCTCTGTTTGTGATCTTGTTCTTTTTGATGGTCCAGCTTCAACTATAGCTTGTCGATTAAGAAATCTCTTTCTGGCTTGTCTTTTGTTATCATTTCTTTTTTTTCTTTCCTCTGTAGTTTCATTTTCTGGTTCTAGATATGCTGCATCAATTTCTTCTAATGATGTGTATTTTGATTTTGGCATTTTTGTTTAAAATTTTAAATGTTTGGTAAAATTAAATATAAAAAATTGTAAAATTGTTTATTAAGAAAGAAACAGAAACGATTTTAATAATTTTTTTGTATTTTTTTAATTAATTTTTGATTTATAATGCATATTTTGTAACATTACAAAAAAAAAATGATTTGTAATGCATATTTTGTAACATTACAAAAAAAAAAAAAATAATAATAATATTTACACATGCTTGCATATGTGCATGCATGATATTCATGCACAAAAAATTGTATTGTTTTTATTTTTAAATTAACTAAAAATAGAAATATTTTTAATTATTCTTAATTAAATGTAAAATAGCAAAGTCTCAGAGGCCATTATTTCGATATCCACTGATTGGAAAATCGTGAAAACTGCATCATCGTGTTCGCCGAGATGCGCTCTTCACAATAATATGTGTTACATCTCTAACAGATCACTTTTTTTTAAGATGATTTTAGTTTAAGTGGTCGATTTTGCACCCAACCCATCGAAACTGAATAGGTGGTTTTCCCCGAAGGTTCTATTTTGCGTCGAGTCACCCTTAAGCGTTGACCTCATTTTTCAGAGGCCCCTACCACTGAAAAACATCCCCTAGGTTAAGTCATCTAATGTATGATACCCTAAACCAACATACTCCAAATCTATGTGAAGAAGGTATCTCAGCAACCCTGGTACTGTTAAATTTGGATAGAGGGTACATCGCAGTCATAGTGAACGTCATCACTACCTTACCAACGGTCTAGTGAATTATAACCAAGATCTAATTACTTGGTTTGGCTTTATTACAACTATATAAAAAGCCGCAGGGTTTATGGAATAGTATCACAAGATTTGCCCAAACGGAGATCTTCAGTCGTGCATATAGATCACATCAACCAGGTGGCTTTGATACCCAGAACGTCAAACAACTCATGAATCGAACCTGACCTCTAACCCTAGTAACAGCTCGATTTGGGCCAGTACTGTGGCGTGCAATACAGTCTAATTATTACTGGTTTGTTACCCAATCTACTAATGTTTGGTCAATCACTTCCTTATTTTATACATGTAATCACTTCGACAGCGACCACGTTTCGAACGGATCACTAGACACTGAGATATTCAAGAAAACGTGTTAAAATATTCAATTAAAGCTTCGTAACCAGTATATTTTCAAATTCTGGGATTGTAATAAATTGAGTTACACAAGATTCCAAATATAGACATATGGTTATACAAATTCTAAAAGGAAATTTTTGGCTATCAAAAAATTGGAAAATCACCAAACATGGGTTACACAAAATTCCCAAAACGGTAATTCGTGTAACATCAATTCACGTGAGTCAACTCGAGTCAACTCGAGTTGAAATGTGTCGAGTCAAATGAGTCGGATAATTTTTGACTCGACTCGACTCAAACTCGAGTTAACTCATTTGACTCGTGAGTCAACTCGACTCATTAGGAGCTCTAATTATGTTTGATCGATTATGTCATTATGATATAATATGGCGTATAAATAAACAATAAATAAAACTAAATAATATCATTATTAAAAAAAAAAAAGAAAAAAAAATTTCCTTTTAAAGTTTAATGATATTTGTAAAAGAAGGAAAAAGTTTTTTATTCTTAAGAAATAGCAACTGGTCTTTTAACATTGAAGCTTTTCAAATAAAATAGTCATAGTTGTAGCATTATTCATTTTTTTCATTATAAAAATACATTTCAAAGTATCGGATTTTTTATTTATAATATTTAAATTTTTAAATATTGGATGATTATTGCAACGCGTTTAATTTTAACATGAAAAATTCAATTTTTTTTTAATATCCTTTTAAATGCCAGACCAGAATAGAAAACATAAATGCCAAATTAATATTATTTCGATCCAGTTAACTAAAAGAAATAATATTGTTGATTTATCTTCAGATATTAATCAGCAAGAATCTCAGTGGGTTGAACTTGGAAATAATAAAACAAGTTGGATATAGAAGCATTTTGGAATCAAAACTGACGGACGTGCTTATTGCATATATAAAATATTAAAAAATGGAATAGAAGAAGAGTGTAATTATAGTTGCATGTATAATACTCAAACCAGCACTCAACAACATCATTTAAATTCTGTTCATAAAGAGTTTGAAAAAGAAAAATTGGTAAGATAACATTATCATTACGTATTTTTATTACAGATAGATATATATAAAATTAATATATTATTTTTACTTTTTAGAAATAATTGAAAGTAGAAGATCAAATAAAAAAAGTTATGCTACATAAAGAACCTAAGCAATGTGAATTAAAGAATACTTTGACTGATTGGTTAGTAACAGATTCTCAACCTTTTAATTCAGCAAATGGAGAAGGATTTTTACGTATGATTAATAAGCTTGATTCTGCATTTAAGCCACCATGTTATATAATGATCAAAAAGGATATTAGTTATGGATATCAAGCTGCATTTCAAGCTATAAAGGAAATGATTACTCATACCTGTGATACAGCAGCTATAACTACAAATCTTTAGACATCTCATGCAAAATCAGGTTATATTAGAATTACATGTCATTGGCTTACAGAAAATATAGAATTATATGATATATTAATTTGTATTGCATCAATTAATTATCCTCATAATAGTAATAATATCCGCTAAACTATTTTAACTAAACTACAACTGCTTGGATTAAATAGTAAAGTAAATGTAGCAATTACTGACAATAGTAGTAACATGATTAAAGCTATTCATGAATGAGATGGTGTTAATCATATTCCATGTAATGCACAATATACATTGCAGTTTTGTGTTATTAAAGGGTTAGAAAAAATTAAATTATATATACCAAACAATTTAAGGAATTAATTTGATTTTTTAATTCTCCAAAACAAAATGAACGGTTAGAAAAGGCTCAGAAAGAAATTGCATCTAGATATGATATACAACTAGAAAATGATTCAATTTTATTTGATTTGACATCAATTGATCAACATCTATTAAAAATTTTGCGAATTATTAATGATGTCAAGATCTGATGGGAATTATCTTTAGCTTCTTGGAAAAGATTACAAGTATTAAAAGATCCTATTAAACAGGTTCTTTTAAATTTATATCTAGAGAATGAATTTAAAAAGGATTATAAAAAATTAAAAACGCGAATTCTTTTAGATTATAAATGGATTTTATTAAAAAAATTAATTGTTCCTTTTAAACCAACTGAAGAAGCAACAGAATGGTTAGGTGGTAAAAAATATTGTACACTTTCTTTAATATATATGCATTATATTATGATTATATATCAGATATAGATGATAATATTATTAACGAAAGTGGTAAGTATAATATTTAAATAATTAAAAATAATTAAATTATATTTATTAATATTTAAATTCTTTTTTTTTAGATAATGATAATATTACTTCAGATGAGGATTCTGAAGATAATGAAAATGTGCTTGATGATAAAGAAAGTGATGATAATAATGATGAGGAACAAATTTTTTCAAATAATACACAAATGTTTTTATCAGAAATTAATAATATTATTAATTCTGTCAAAAAAGAATATATAGCGCTATTTGAATATTTCAATTTACCACCTGAAATTGCTGTACTTGCTAGCTTTTTAGATTCAAGATTTAAAAAAAATGTATAGATAGTCTGAAGAAGTGTGTGAAATAGCAACATCTTCATTATAAAGAGAATATCATTTATTAAAAAATGAAGAAACTGTTATGCCTCAAATAAATTCAAGAAATAATTATTCAACAGGCGGGTTTAAATCATGTTTATTTGGATCATATGAAATAGATGAAAATAATGATGAAATCAATTGCTATTTGGATAATTTTAGAACTCCACAAGCTATACCCGAAATGGATCCATTTCAATGGTGAATTGATAATAAAAAGAAATTTCTAACTTTATTTAAAATAGCTAGAAAATATTTGAGTGTACTAGCCACATCTGTTCCAAGTGAGCAGCTTTTTAGTGATGCTAAAAATAGACCAGTTTAAAACCAGAAACTGTTAATGAATTATTGTTTGTAAAATGAAATAGTAAATATTATTATCCTTTTGTATAATTGTATATTAACAAATTAAAGAGATTTTAATAGTTATTATAATATTTGTAATTGATAAAAACTAGCTTATTGTAATTTTTTGATGCTTATATTAATATTAATAAATCAATCAATGATCAAGTAATTAAAATTTGATTTTTAATTTATTCTTTGATTGAACAATGCAATCGATTAAGAAATCGATCACATATAATTAATCAAATAAATCAATTTTTAATCGATCAAGTAAGTAAAAAATTGACCAAATCATTGATTATGATTTTTTTATCAATTAAATGCCCTAGTATAAACACTGTATGACCGTTTTAAACCTAAATAATACCGTTCACCTCGTTCTTTCAACAAAAATAATCCCAACAACCTCTCATTTGCAAATATCCTCATTGACCAGAAATGACCTATTATTAAGGACCCTTCTAAGACATCACAAAATGTCATTAATGCTCTTAAATTGGTACAAGAATGACTTGACTCAATTGAAAATAGACTCTTTATGATCAATAATGAAATTAATGCCATCAAAACTGATCTTACAGTCCATACGGATAATGAAAATAAGATTGGATTTCGTCTGAACCACCTAGAATTCATGCACAATATTGAATATGACTAAAACATTCATAACCCAAATTACGAATTCTTATTACATGACAACTTTTTGATACCTATTGATGAACAAACTTCTGAACCACAAATCCCCCAAACGAAGACAACTATTCAGAATCAAAATGTCTTATCATCATTTCCAGCTGACAATCTATAATATATAAGTCTTGTTGAATCATCTGTCAATGAAATTAAAGATAAAGTACGCAGTCTAATAGCCATAATTACCCTATTATTCAAATGTTATCTTATTCCAATTAATGATTGTATAAAATACCAATAATACCATCAATGTCTAAAAACATTAATCTAATAAGAAAAAATTCACAAATGATAATTTTCATACGTAATGCAATAATCAAAAAAATTTCTTATACCACACATAACGTTAGAAGCTATACTATAGATGTCAAACTAACACAAATCAAACAATTTTTCATAAATTATAATCTATATATTTTAGGTCTTTCAGAAACTTATTTTAACAAATTGCAAGCCTTTTATTATTCACATAATCTAAAATCAAAACCTTATCATTTCCTATTTTCATTGAATAATCCATCATAAAACTGTCAAAGCATTGGTTTTATTATTAGAAATTATTTATATAACCATATTTTTTTTTACGAATTTCTCTTTGACAGAATAACATACATTGACCTTCAGTTTAAGAACAAAAACAAACTAAGGATATTTCAAATTTATCTTCCTACGAACCACAGCAATAAAACACAAATCACCTTTAGAAAACAAATAAAAGCCAAATTAACGAAGCTTATATTAGATGCATAAAGAAAGTCTTTCTATATAGTCATAATAAGTGATTTTAACATAAATATTTATAACACTTCTAGTCATATGATTAAGCAATATAAAGTAAAACGTCTCTTTATCAATAAACTTTTCAACCTTAATTTCATTTTAGCAAATACTTTAAATCATACTTCCAATACTTCACAACCTCATACATATATTAACCTAGTGTCCAATAAAATTTCGCATCTAGATTAGGTTTTTACATCTTCAGCCTTCACCTACAATTTGATCACATACAAAATTTTAGACAATATACACCTCATTTACGAATCTGACTACCTGCCAATTTTGATTTCACTTTATAAAAAAAATTATTCCACAACTCATCAAGTGCCTATCGTGAACAACACAAAACTACAAGAAAATTATTTAATTACAACAAAATTGCGAATCTACATTGTGACTTCTTTTCAGATAAAATGAACAAATTTATCAAAGATTCCTCAACCTATAAAGACTGTGAGCCCATAAATATCAGTTAAAATACAAACATGTTAAACAAAGCATAGGAATTTTTTGCATATTTTATCATCATCATGGCAAATAAACATATATCCAAATCCACAACAACAATTGACCACAAACCTTTGTATACCCATGACAATTCTAAAATATACCGCCAATCTAAAATTTTATATAAATTATTTTACAATTGTAAATCAATTTTAGAAAATTCAAATAAACAAATTTTGCATACTAATTCTTCAAATATTGACTCTGAACTGCATTCAAAAGTTCTCAAAATCTCAGCTAAGCATTTATTTTCATCAGCACATTTGGACTCCCTATATTATCAAAAAAATACTAAAGACTACTTAGTAGAACTCAAGCAATCCATTATTAAACCTTTTGAAAGTAAACTAAAGATATTCTCATGAAATGAAAATAACAAAAAAATCAAAGAATTTGTTCATCAAAGAGCTACCAACTATACAGACGCTTCCACATAGATAATTGATTTGGTGTTTTGAAAGAATTAGAATAATGATTATTCTTGATAGAGTGCTCATAAATACGAACACAAATGAACCCTATTTGGAATTAGACCCTGACAATATTAAAACAGCCACTATAAACTATTTCAAATACGTTACTGAATTCTCCAATTTACACAATAGATAACTTAATCACAAATGGTCATTCTAATGTATAGAAGTTTTGGAAAGATAGTTACAGACCTTTTGAATCTATTGACGATAATCTCTATATCACCATTTTGGATTCTCCAACATATAACGAATGGTTACTAATCATAAAACACCTTCCAAATGACAAAGCTTCTGATCCATCTAACATATCCAACAAATTTCTAAAATATTTAGGTCCGCTAGCTAACAAACTTCTTTAAAAAATAATCTGTGCTTGCTTCATTTCAGATCTAATGCCAGTACAGTGAAATCTAGCCAACGTATATTCAATTCCAAAACCTAAACCTTGAAACTGTGATTTAAAAAACACCAGACCCATCACTTTACTCGAAACAGTTAGAAAGGCTTTCACAAAGATTCTTAATAACTGTTTATAACAAATTTTACTTCAGTCGAATGCACTATCTGGATAAATTTCACCAGCCTACCACATCAATCGATAAATGAACCTTTGAAGATTATTAATAATTTACTTGAATACCATCGTTTGAGAAAAAAAAGTGATGCAACATATGACCAAAAATTATATATCCTTTTTTAAGACATGTTCAAAGCCTTTGATGGGATCAATATTTATATGCTACAGAACGTCATGCCCAGGCTAAAGTTCCTGTTAAAATTGATAAATCTGATTGTAGGCTTATTTCTTAATAGAAAAAACCAAGTTTTCATAAGATTTAGTAACACAAACTACTATGACTTCCAGGTTGGAATAGACCAAGGTGAAGTCATTTTCCCGATTCTTTGGGTTATTTATTACAATCCACTTTTTCAAAAGATTAAGGATGCTGGACTAAGTTTTAAAATGGAAACTACCTGGAACTCTGACATCAATAAATCCCAC